TAAAATTTCCCCCCCCCCAAAAAAATAATCAACAAAACCCCCTCCCCCCCAAAACCCCCCCCCCCCATTCCATTCACAAATCCAAAAATTGTTGTCATTTCTATCTGGGTATTGGCAAAAAATCCATAAAGGATTTCTAGCATTTTATGGCAGTATTTTTTATTTTATCCTTGATCAAATAAGTCAACTTTATATTCTTTTTTGTTTGTTTGTTTGTTTTGTTTTATTTCTAACGATCTTGATCTTTACTTCATCAAGTTCCTGTAGCAAGCTTGAATCTCCATTCAAACTTTCTTCCTCCCATCTCAAAAATTTCTTCAAAACTTTCTTTTGTAAATCCATTAATAAATCTTTGTCCAAGTCACTTTTCATCTCTTGGCTTATCATTTATATTTCCACTTTAACTGTCATCTCTGTCTTATAATCCACAATTTCTTTATTTGCCAATGTTTCTGTATCAGCTGGAATTTGTTTCACCTCTTCATTCTGTTGGTCTGTAAATTCTTCCACATTCTTTTTTTCATCTTTTGTTTCCTTTTTAAGATCTAGCTCAATAAATGCATTAGCAGGTGCAATAATTACTGCTGTTAGTTTAACTATAAATTTCTCTCCCAGTTCTTTAAGACCCTTTAGAAATGTCTCAAGTGTCATACCTTTATCTGTCATTTTGTGAGCTTCATTATTTTTCTTTTGAATTGAAAATAACAATTTAAAAAAGGGTTTATCTCTTTTTTTTTTCTTTTTCCTGCCTGGAACTTTAGTCTCCTCTAGTGTCTAATTTCTATAGAATCTCAGCAGTCATCTCTTTCGTGGTAGACTAAACAATTTAGGTCCCCACGAAAATATTGTTTTATTTATCTTATTATTTCAAAAGTCTTAACAAAAGTGATTTAAAATATCTCAGCAAAAGTTCCAATATTCCAAATTCTTCTGGTCCCTTAATCCATTTAAAACTTTCTTGAATTAAATTCTTATTTAGCTTTTTGCCCTTTATTTTATATTCCTTAAGTTCTTTAAACTGTTACAGTTAATCCTCAACCTATGACCATTTATTCAGCAACCATTTGAAGTTACGATGGTGCTGAACAAATGGTGGTTTCAACTGGTCCTTGAAGTTCCAGCCATCCCGCAGTCACATGATCATGATCTGGGTGCTTGGCAACCCGTTTGTACTTATGACCAGTTGCAAAGCACCCTGCGATCACGTGATTGCTACTTGCAACCTTCCCTGCTGGCTTCCAGAAAAAGTCAGTGGAGAAGCCAGCAGGGAAGGTCACTAGTTGCTGGGGTAAGTCTCCCCACCCGTGCACCCTCCCCCAGCCCCTTTGCGCTCACACCATGGCGGCCAGTGTGCACCCCCATGCACCCTCCCTGACCTTTGCCACACCTCCCTCACACCCTCTCAGACCCCCGTGCACCCTCCCCAACCTGTGCTGCACCCCTGTGTACCCTCTCTGACCCACATGGCACTTCTTGCACATCCTCTCGCACCCTCACGCACCCTCCCCAGCCCACTCCAAGCCTCGCATGCCCTCCCTGACCCTCCCAACCCATGCCGCACCTCTTGTACACTCCCCACACACACTCCCAACCTGTGCAGCGCCTCACACACCCTTCCCCAACCCATGCAGCCCTTTTTGCACATACTTCACGCATGCTCCCCACCCCTCCCTTACAGCCTCGTGCACCCTCCCCATGCCCGCTGCACCATTCGTGCACCCAACTTGCACTGTGCCTTTCACACACTTCCTCACACACACTCTCCCCGACCCACGCAACGCCTCACACACCCCTCCCCAACCCATGCAGCCTCTTTTGCCCACCCTTCACACACTCACTCCAACCCTCCCTTACAACCTCACGCACCCTCCCCATGCCACACCACTCCTCTCGTGCACGTACCCCCACACCCCCTCATTCCTTCTCCCACCCAACAGCAGCCACTTACCTGCCTGCAGACCTGGGGCTTGCAATTTCTTGCCAGCTTCCCCACTGACTTTGGTTGTGGGAAGCCAGCAGGAAGTTGCCTTGCCTAACATCCATGGGATTCGGTTAACAATGGCAACTGGGACTATAGGGATTGCCATCGCTAAGGAATGCAGTCACATTTTATGACCTCATCACTTAGCAACGGAAATTCCAGTCCCAATTGCTGTCATAATTCGAGAAGTACCTGTATTTAATTTTTCTTCTATTTGGGGATGAAGTTTTACTTACCAGGTAGTTTTTCAAACTTATTGCTTGGAAAGTTTCTTTTAAAAGAAGATCCGTTCCTAAGTCTGATTTAACTCGAATTTGTAAGTAAGTTGAAATTCATACTTGCAAACAGGCTGCTTATTACTAAAAATGGTAGATGGCACTCTCCTTCCACAAGGCGACAAACCGCTGAAGCTGTGCAATGTTTTCACAAACTGCTGAAAACAGACTTTATACTAAAAACTTGCAACTTCAGCGGTTCCTGAAAGCATTGCGTGGCTTCAGGAGTTCGTCAGCTCAAGGAAGGAAAATGCCATCCACCATTTTTAGTAATAGGCAGCTGGTTGTCTGAGCTGAGTTGTCTGTAAGTCAGACATTCTTAACCCTGGGACTGCCTGTAATTGTAAATCTAGATGTGTTTAGAAAATAAGGTTGATGAACCCAGTGTCCTTAAAGGCTGCACTGTGGTTGATGGCTTCCCTTGTCTCCCAGTGCTCAGACCCACGAGGTGACCACTGTCCTGCAGTCTCCTCATGAGGAGCAGCTGTCTGGAGCACAAGTGGGCAATCTCTTGTCCTCTCCTTATCCAGAGAGGTTCTGTTAGACCAGGCTCATCGCTGGTCCCCTGATCTTTGCCAATGATGTCATCTCTGCTCCTCCAGAGAGGTCTTACTTTGGCTTTGCCTCACTCAGAAATCCAAGAATAAGACTATTTGTGACTGGTATTGTAACTTCTGCTAGCATCAGATAAATAATCATCATGTACGCCTACTTGTACTTGTTGCTTGGCTAGATAAGTAGGATAATGCTATTTGCTCATGTCTTGCTTGTGGATTGTTAACAGGATACAAGATTAGCTAGACTTTTCCATTACTGATCTTTCATGTTATTTAAATGGAGGTGAGAGAGAACTGCACACTTACCCTTAGCATCGTAAAAGAATAAAATTAAGAGTAATTCATTGCAAATTATAGGTAGTCCTAGACTTAGGACAATTCATTTAATGGCCATTTGAAGTTACGACGGCAATGTGACTTACAACCTGTCCTCACACTTACAACTGTCACAGCATCCCCATGGTGACATGTTCAGAATTTGGGTGCTTGGCAATCAGCATGTATTTATGATGGTTGCAGCATCCCAGAGTTACATGATCACCATTTGTGACCTTCCCAGGGAGCTTCCCACAAGCAAAGTCAATGGGGAAAGCCAGATTTGCTTAACAACTGTATGATTTGCTTAACAGCTGCAGCAAACAGGTTGTAAAATCAGGTGCAATTCACTTAATGACTGCATCGCTTAGCGATGGATGTTCTGGTCCCAATTGTGGTTGTAAGTCAAGGACTACCTGTAATGCCATAGGGTTGTTGTTGTTTTTTCATAAAAAATAAATTTTAGAATTTTACAGAATTTTATAATTCTGTAAAAAAAAATACTTGACCATTATTTGATTTACAGTTGACAAATATTTGACTGCATTTTAAGTAATATTGTTTTACTACTCTATTGATTTTGCTTTTATTTACAATACTTTCTAATAGGAGTTCAAAGGTTTGGGTTATGTAACTATTCAAATTTTGTTTCTCTACTAACCTTTCTTGTTAATTTTAGGCATTTTCAAACATACACATTCCATTTCCAAAGTACTCATCTCTGACTTGGTTCCTAAGAAGGAGCGCCTCTTAGTAATTGGATATTTCAATGCAATATCGAATTTTGGTTTCATTTTGGGACCAGTTGTCGGAGGCTATCTTACAGAGCTAGAGAGTGGCTTTTACCTGACCGCATTCATCTGTGCTTCCATCTTTGTCTTGAATGCTGGTATGTGATTTGAATTATGCTAATATTTTGTACTTGAATCATGAGTTGGGCCAGGACTATATTTCTGGAAACGCCAGGCAGCACCCATTGTGTAATGGTTTGTGGGAATGACCTTGGGAGACAGGGCGAAGAGAAGCAATTGAGGGAACAGTCAGATAAAAGGCAACTCAGCCCGCAGCAGGAATGTGGACGGGGCCAGCAGCTCAGAAGGACCCTTCCTAGTTTCTTGGGCTGTAAAGGGGACGGGGAGAAATGTACTTTCAGACTTGCAAGGTTCTATTAATGTAACCCTGCAATAACAGGGTTGAATAGCAGAATGAGCTCATCTAGCTGTGTTTCCTGTCTGGTCTACCTCGCAAGGCTGACATCAATCTTGCAAGTCTGAAAGTACATTTCTTCCCACATCCCCTTTACAGCCCAAGAAACTAGGGAGGGTCCCTTCTGAGCTGCTTACCCTGCCCACATTCCTGCTGTGGGCTAAGTTGCCTTTTATTTGACCTTTCCCTCGATTGTGTCTTTTCGCCCTGTCTCCCACATTAGTTTATAAAGAGGCAGGGCTTACAACAGAGAATCATCTTCTTTCTGAACCCAGTTTATAAATCGGGTCATCTTGTGTCTTTGACAGTATACTGCAGCTGACCGCTGCTACCAACTCTTCTTAGAAGTATAGAATTATTTCAAGATGGACTCTGACTGGATATTATTATTATCATCATTATCTTTAGAGGCTGTCCAACTCCAGAACAACTCTGGGCAATGTACAGTGGGGCAAAAAAGTATTTAATCAGCCACCAATTGTGCAAGTTCTCCCACTTAA